CAACAGAAGAAAAACGATTACAGAGATAAGAAGAAAACCAAGATAGACAAGAATCAGTAATATTAAAAGAAAGATGCAGCAGTCTCAAGAGAATAGTATGGTCAACAGTATCAAAAGCTGAAGAAAAGTCAAGAGCAAGAAGAAGAGTAAGATTACTATTGTCACTAGAGAGAAGGATATCATTGTGTATTTTAAGTAAAGAAGTTTCAGTACTGTGAGCAGGTCTGAAACCAGATTGAGATACAGGTAGCAAAGAGTTAAAGTCTAAATAGGATGAGAGTTGATTAAAAACTACTTTTTCTATTATTTTAGAGATGAAAGTAATATTAGTTACAGGTCTATAATTAGATAAAGAGGTAGGATCTAGGGATGTGTTTTTAAGAATAGGAATAACAATAGAATTCTTATAAGAAGTAGGAAATTTAGAGGTGGAAAGAGATAAATTAACTAATTTGAGAATGATTGGATAAAATATTGAAGAGAATTCTTTAAGTAAATTAGAAGGAAGTAGATCTAGAGAACAGGTTGTAGACGACATAGAATTAATAATTTTAGTTAGTTCTAAAAGATTTATTGGACTTCAGTACAAATTAAAATAATCATAATTTTGCGTCAAATTCGTCCCGATCCGCCATTGCCAGCATCACAAATATTAACGGGCTTTTTAAAGGGCACTCAACATATAATTAGCTTATTATTATTCACTTAATTAATATTTTTAATTGAAGTTTACTTTTAAGTTTATTTACACTCTCACTTCAGGTTTATCTCACAAATTGCCCAAAATTCAAAGTGACTGAACTATGATATAGTATAATCATTATTTCCAGCGTAGATTAGCGTCAAGCTTCCTGTAGAAAATGATCTTCCGTACTTCTTTAACGCTGGCGGGGACATCTTTTCTTAAAAACATTATTAGAAACGGATCCGGAAAGTCGTCTACTATATTTTCCCTTTGCTCTGGCCATGGAAAATGTGGAGTTTCGGTATTTCGAATTTCCGGACCCGATGCTCTTTCTGCTATAAAGTCGATGACCAAAATTAATACTAGGTCGTCAACGTTAACTAAGAAAGCAGTGTTTTACGCAAAAATATTACATTCAAGAACGCAAAAACAGATTGATCAAGGCATTGTCTTGTGGTTTCCAGGTACTTAATTATAATATTTATATTATAACTTATTATTTATTATAATAACTATAATTATAAGAACTATAATTATAATATATTATTATATATAATTAATTAATTATTATTAAAAAGTTCTTTTTCAATTGTTTTTATTTTAATGATAAAGCATAGTTAAAATAATATTTTACATGATTTCGTGTGTATAATATAGTTTTATTTTATATATTATCTATCTTATGACTAGACTAAACTAAACTATAATTATAATATCATTAATGATTAATTTAATATAATTATATTACATACAGTGTTAGTTACCGTCAAGGTTCCTTTATACATACATACACAATACAGTACTACTGAATAAATAAATAAAATTTTTTCAATTAATTAAATTGGAATTAAATTATTTCTATTCAGCAATATTAATAACTATAGTGTATTTAATATTGAATTGAATATGTATATTATTGAATATACTTACAAATACATGATTTTAAATATTAATGGTGTTCTGTCTTGTATATACACTTATACAGTATAAATAAATATATATAGTACATGTATTAATTGTCCATTTGTTATATATTATACAACAAATTAATATATTTATATGTATTTATGTAATAGAATGGCTTTATGAATATGCATGATTTCACTATTTTATTTTATTTATAAGAAAAATATGTTGAATTCTAAAGGTCCCAATAGTTTCACTGGTGAAGATGTGTGTGAGCTCCAGACTCATGGAGGCCCAGCCATTGCAAAACTTATTCTATCGTCACTTTCGTCACTACAAAAATTTAGACCTGCATTGCCTGGTGAATTCATCAGAAGGTTAATTTTAAAATTGTTTAGTTATGCTTTTTTACAACCATGTTTTTAATTCTCAAGGTCATTTGAAAATAGTAAAATAGACCTTACACAGGTAGAAGGTTTACATGATTTGATAAATGCTGAAACTAGTGAACAGCATTCTCTAGCTTTAAATATGTACAATGGTCAATTGAAAGAAACTTATACTAACTGGAGTAATACTTTGTTGAAGGTTTCAGTTTATTTTCTAAATTTTTGTTCCTGAAAATGGTGTACCAAAATTTGTTGTCTGTTTTGTTTTCTTTTCGGTCACAATGATTATGTAAAAGAATTTAGCCTATCTTGAAGCTCTGGTAGATTTTGGTGAAGAGGACAATCTGGATGAAAACATTTATAACAAAGGTAAGTGTTTTTGTTATATTTATTGAGCTGAAAAATTATGTAAAAGAGTTGTCAAAGCTACATTTTTTTGTTGAAAAATTAAATTTTTCTGACAGTTTTAAAAATTAGATAACTTAAATTTTTTAAATATTTGAAATGTTTATTATCTTTAAGGATTTGTATTAAATTTACTCAAAAAACATTATTAACAACTTTAAATACTAAACGAAAACACCAGCCATACAGAGTGTCACTTGTTTACATGCTGAAGTTGCGAATCATTTAAATGACAGTAGAATATATGAACAAATAAGAGATGGTGTTAAAGTTTGCATAATTGGGAAATCCAATGTTGGAAAAAGTAGCTTGCTAAATGCCCTATGTAAGTGTATTCACCTTATAATTTTGGTAATATATACTTTCAACATTGTTCAACTTTTTCATATTTCTTTTTAATTTATTAATTTCCGAGAAATTAGACATTTTATTGTTTTTTTAAAAAATTTTTATTAAATAAATTTGCTAATAGCTATTTCGAGTTATAAATAACTCATCTTCAGTGCATTATATATAAGGTATGTAAGATATTTGATATAAAGGAACAAGTAATTATTAGTTTATATAAATTATTTAATTAAAACAGAAAACCAATAAAGTAAATTTAATAACTATAAACAATATAAAACGCGATTTTTAAAATTTTTTAACGGCAAGATTGTTTATATTATGGTTGTTAAGGTAAATATCAACGCTCAGCCGAGAAGCGCGAATTAATTTATTTAATTAACTACATATTATTAATATTGTTTTGACAATATTTAAAAACATTATTATTATTATTATTGTTAACGTTATTATTATTATCATCGCAGTGGTTCTTCTTGCTTCATGTAATGATGTTCCATTTGCAAGTGATATTTGCGCTGTGGGTTGTGGCGTTGGTATCTACATTGTTGGCACTGTTGTTGTTGTTATTGTTCATGCTGTTGTTGTTGTTGTTGTTGATGTTGTTGTTGGTGTTGTTGATGTTGTTGTTAGGGTTGTCACTATTGATGATGTTCCAATTGCAACTGATATTTGCGCTGTGGGTTGTAGCATTGGTATCTACAGTGTTGGCACTGTTGTTGTTGTTGTTATTGTTGACGTAGTAGCGTCAAATCCAATTAATAAAGTTGTTCTTCGAATTTACTATCAAAATTTAAAAACATCCCAACTAATCATGAAAAATAATTGCCTGCCTGCAACTACTCAACTACAACAAAGTCATCTAATTTATGAATATAAATGCTTCGTCGGTGAATGTTCGCACCGCAACAATG